AAAAAAATTACAAAAAAATATGTATGAATGACAAAGAGTCCATGGTCTGAAGGAGGTAGTAGTAGTCATGAAGACATACACATGGAGATAATTAATAAGAAAGACTGAAAAATTAATGTTTTAAGTAAGAACAGTGTTGCAGATACAGAAAGGAATGGTTTATTCTGCTTGAATCAAACTTTAACCTGTTTCTTAGAGGTAGAGCTTCAGAGAGAAGAATTGGTCAGAAAGATAATGGTGGCAAAGTGACATTCGGGTAAGGAACATAGTTTTATAAGGAAGTTTTCAGAGCAGAGCAATTTTACAGATCAGTAGAAAATTTAATGTAGGTGTTGTATGTGCATCCTGATTTGCATAATTCCACCTTTTCCAAGAAAGTCCCACCTTTTCCCTTAAAAACATATTAAATGATTCCTTTCTCATATATTTAACCTAGAAATGCTCCCACAAATCTTCCTTTTCTGAGACATTTTCAAAGTTAAGTAGCTTTCGATTTTGTTTTTACTCTCTTGAGGTAAAGATAGTTTTCTCACCCACTTACCTCCTCTGATGATTTTTTTACTAAGAAGGGCAAGGTCCCTTTGAGTCCTAATGGGACTGTAATAGTAACAAAACTATATCTAAATCATATTTCTGAAACAGAAGTAAGTGATCATAAGGATGTATGTGTGGAGTAAAGGATTGGTACAAAAAAAAATTAAAAGGGTGTCTCTTGAAACATTTGTTGTTAGGTGCCAACAAGTTGAGTATGACCCTATGAAACAACAGATCTGAAACCTATCCTATCTTGTGCCATTCTTACACTTCTTGACACGTTAGAACCCATTGTGGCAGTCACCATGTCAATCCACATGGTGGAAGGTCTTCCTCTCCTTCACCAACCCTCTATCTTTCTGAACATCATGTCCCCTCCTAGCAATATCCCTGAAGTATGTGAGGCAAAGCCTCATCGCCTTTGCCTCCAAAGAGCACTGCAGCTGTATACACTCTCTCCAAAACATATTTGTTGGTTCTACTGGCAACCCATGGGATGTTCAGTGCTCATCTCCAACACCACAGTTCAAAGGCATCAATTCTTCTTGAGTCATCCTTATTCACTGCCCTGTTCTCAGAGGCACAGCCCTTGATAAGAAGGACCATGGCCTGGCATCAGATGCAGCTCAATCTCTTAAAAACTCACACATATCTTTCAGGTTTTACACTAAGAATTTGGTTTTGCTCCAAAATACATATTTAATCTATTTTCATCCCATTTCTCATGCGCCTTCTAGTTCAAATCATTATCTCTCATCTAGATGTTAACAGTTTCCAACCAGCTCTCCTTCTCTTTGCACTTCTCCAGTCTGCTTTAGGAGATGCCAGGGTTATTTTAGAAAAGGAAATCAGATTTTGCCACAGTAAGCTTAAAATGTCTCAATGCTTCTCAGTGCAATCAGAATGAAACCCAAACTCCTATTTTTTATGGCCTAAGAGAAATAAGCTGGCTCACTGCAATCAATATAACCTTCATTATCTCCACAACTTTTGTCGCTGAAAATAACCCGAGTTTACTGAGACCTTTATGTTTCTCCGTAGTGCAGGAAATGCTCTTTTTCCATCTTTTCATATGTTTAGAAGCACAAATTACTCAAATGGTTAATTACTTGGCAACTAATCAAAAGGTTGGTAGTCTGACTACACCCACAAGTGCTTCAGAAGCATGGCCTTGCAATCTACTTCTGAAATGTCATAAGCATTGAAAATTTGATGGTAACAGAGTTCCTGTTAAGTAACTCCTAAGATTATCATGAATCAGAATCAACTTGGTGAGAACTGGTTTGTGCAAAAATGAAATCCTTCTCATTTCCTCAGATCTCAATTTAGATTTTGACTAACAAGATGGACTGACACAGAGACTGTAGCAAAGGACTCAAGTGTTTTGGAGATGTTGAGGATGAAACAGAATAGGACAAGATTCAGCTCTGTTCTGACAAACATAAGCCTACCAGCACAACCAGCACTTACCACAGCACATGGTTATATTAATGCTTACTTGTTTGTCTTCCCTGTAAGGAGTCCGTCTCTTCTATTTACCACTGTTTTCTCAGTATGAATGACTTTGTTTTTATGAATGACATGTTTAGTTTAAAAGATGAGAGATAATCATTAGGCAAAATTTAAAAAAGGGAAATACAAGCCTAGAGCTCAAAGCAAAGTTTTATGGTTTACATAGTGAACAAAGATAATAAAGTTTGGAGAATTCAAGTTTCAGAGGCTGAGTCAACAAGGTAGATCCATAATGTCTCATACCCTAAGGAAAATAACTGGCAATATTTCTGCCAATAATAAAATTTAAAACATTCAGGTAATAATAATTAGATATTGGAAAACTGTAATCATACCTATGAGCTTGACTATGATCAATACTTGAACTTTTCTGGTAAGATCAATGCTGATCAACAGAACAATTATGACTTTTTGTTGTTAGGTGCCATGGAGTCAACCATGACTCACAGAGATCCTATGAACAACAGATCTGAACCATCATCCCCTGTCCTGCACTGTCCTTACCATCCCAACTATTAATTGAGGGTCTTTCTGTCTCTGTTCTTTACCTTTCCCACTATTCTGTCTTTTCCTAATCACTGGCCTCTCCTGACAACATGCCCAAAGTATGTGAGATGAAGTTTCACCATTCTTTCTCTAATGGGCACCCTGATTACACTTCCTCCAAGACATACATGTTTGTTCTTTTAACAGTGCAAGGAATATTCAGCACTCTTCTACACCATCATAATTCAAAGGCAATGATTCTTCTGTCACCCTTATTAACTGTATGAATTTCAAATGCATAGGAAGGAGATAATACTGCCATGGCTTGGATCAGACATACCTTGGTCTGTTCTGTAGAACTTTGTAGAGGTCCTTGATAGCAGATTTTTCAGTTCAACCTACCTTTTTATTTTCTGACTGCTGTTATTATGGGTATTGATTACGGATGCAAGTAAAACAAAATCATTGGCAACTTCAACCTCTTCTTTATCATAATGTGGCCTATGGGTCCAGTGGTGAGGATTTTTATTGTCTAGATGTTGAGGTGTAACCCATATTGAAGTCTTTTATCTTCTGTAGCAAGTGTTTCATCTTCACATTCTTCAAGTAAGTTTGTGTAATTTGTATAATGCAAGGTTG